GTTAAAATGTTTCAATGCACTAAGCACATTACAGCTTCGTTACTTGGTCTCGGATGAGATTTGGACGAGGTTTGTGTTTAACATGTGCATTTTTAACTTTTTCCCACGATTTTATTGTATTTGGAGGGTTCTTGAAGGATCATCTTCCCATAATTATTTCTTAATATGCATAGATACGAGTGCCCAACGAGGACAATTCAAGAAAATGAAGATTCAGAGCAACATGGCATTGAAACAATATATATATACACACACGCACAAAACAGCCAATATTAGTTCCAAATTAAAGCCACAGATGGCCATCCAAATTCATCTTCTGTAACTGTAAGGATGCATTCGAGAGAGAAACAATACCTCAAGTCAACTCTACTCTTAACGGCGGAAAAGTAAAGAACTTGAAGTCTCACAAGGTAAAAATATGCAGAAACCCTAAAGGTGCGTTTGGTTCACGGAATGTAATATTACCAATGAGAATAAAAGATTACCAGAGAAAATGATGACGGAGAATGTTGTATTTTGTGTTTGATTGGTTTAGCATGAATATAAGATTGCCGTGTTTGGTTAAAGGAATAAAAGATTATTGGAATGTATATTTGACCAAATTATCCTTATTATATATATTTGTTTTTTTAACAAGTTGAAAACTATTTATACATTTTCTTTAAAAAATTTAAAATCATAAAATTTATATAATTTTTTTTACAAAATTAAAAATATAAAATGATTTAATAAAAGCATAAAATTTTATTTTAACCCTTGAACTTCATATAAAATTTTAATTATAGATTTTTTTTGTAAATCTAAAATAATTTAAAGATAAATTTGTAATTTAATTTTCGTAGAATTTTTATTATTCAATGACAGAAAAATGATATTTAAAAAAAAATTAAGGACATTTTAGTCCAAAACGCATGTAATCCAACAATACCTAAAGGAATAGAGGTAATAATATTCCCGGTAATATACCCAAAAAAATCTACTATTAGTAATAAAACATTACCGAAATGACATTCCCGACCAACCAAACGAGAAATATGGATTTCATTCCCATGCTACATTCCCCAAGCCAAACAGCTCCTAATCCTCTAAACGTGACAAACATAAATACCTAAAACACGATACAGAAGAAAACTCCTATTCCCAAATCAACACATTGAAAGGAACAACTAAAGTCAGGTTTATGGGTTCCAGTGTGGTTAACATAAACCACGAATGTATTAAAGACTTGGACATTAAGACTCTTCGAACAATTTAACCTATACCTTAAAATAGACTGCAAAAAGTGGAAACAATGTAAAATGGGGCTCCTAGATAATTTGTGTGTGGAGTACCTGAAAAGCTCCAATGATCGGAATCGGCGTTTCCGACGGCACACCGGTTTCGACGCGATTCAATATTGATACAGATATCTAAATTGTGTCAGATTAAAGCGGAAGAAGAATGTAGGGTTTTTGAGCTTGCAAAGTAATGTGTTTTATACTTTTTATGGGTAAACTACACAGATGGTAACTAATCTTTGAGTACATTTTGTTTTCTCTACTTAATTTTTAAAACTAATATATTGATCACTAATATTATCGATTTATAACAAATTGGCCACTAACATTATTGATTTATAACAAATCAGCCATTAATATTATTGATTTATAACAAATTGACCACTAACATTATCGATTTATAACAAATTGACCACTAACATTGTCGATATATAACAAATTGGTAAATAACATTATCGATTTATAACAAACTGTTAACATGGGTGCCAGAAAGCTGACTTCACCTGTTAACGCTTACTTGACAAGGTTGATTGCCCATTGCACTCCTTTTTGACTGAATACCTCTTCAACTTTAAATAAAGAAAATTCACTCTCTAAAACCTATTTTACCCTTTTTGAATTTCATCATCCCAAAATCTATTCGTCTTTTCTACATAAAATATCTTACAAGCAAAGATGGAAGACTTCAGGGACGTCAATCCGCCATATCAACGTATATGTTCCTTGTCTCTCCCATTGTATAAGCTTCAGCCAATAAAGGTTTTTCCAGTTTTACGGTCGATTTCATCGATTAAAGCTTGTCCAAATATGGGAGAAATAGGGAACACATACTAACTTGGTGTATTGACGTCCATGAAGTATTTTGTCTTCACATATAAAATGTTTTCGCAAAAGAGATGAATGAGTTTTAGGGATGATGAAGCTCATATGGGTAAATTAAGTCTTGAGGATAAGATTTTTTTTTATTTAAAGTTGAAGATGTGATCGGTAAAAAAAGAGTCCAATGGGCGATTAATGTTACCAGATAAGCGTTAAAAGGTCATGTAAGTTTTCCGTCATCCACGTTAACGATTGTCAATATCAAGTGTGTGATTTATTATAAATTAACAACGTTAGTGACCCGTTTGTTATAAATCAATAACTGATTTGTTAGTTTTGAAACTTTAGTGGGAAAAACAAAAATTTACTCAAAGGTTAGTGACTGTCAGAACGGTCCTTAATATTTCTGAGGCTATTTCGGGGGAGCAATCTAACTTAATATTGGAAAAGGTTGGGTTTTAAAAATAAATACATAAATAAACAGATTTGGAATCGCCATCGACCTTTAGATAGGTAAGTCGAATACCTAAAAAATACCCTTTAAAATAATTTTAAGAAAAATAATTTTAAAAGATAAAAAATGATATTTGTTTAACCAGAAATTCATTTTGAAAAAGGATTCGGGAGTCGATTATGCTTGATATTAGTACCCCACAAAGCCTGAAATCGATACCTAAGTAGTTACACGTCATCTAAATACTGAAATTTGCAAATTCGAATATACATTTAAATTATGATCATTTTTTTTAAAAAAAAATATAAGGGGTATTATTTTGTACGAACAATTCTCGAAAATACCTTCATTGTCAGTTAAAGAGGCATTTCCGTATACTCCCCATACAAAATAATATTGTCCTAATTTTTAGATAAAATACATATATTAAATATATAAAAACAAATTCTTTCAAATATAAAAAGGTATTATTTTGTTCGAAGAATTCTTGGAATCACACTCCGTGTCAGTTAAGGCACGTTTCTATAAATTCCTCAAGTAAAATAATATTTGAAAATATTACAAATAACAAGAAATTAACAAATATGTAAATGATGGATCAAAATAATAAATATGGCGACTTTAGGGATTAAATTATAAAACCAACAAGAGATCAAGGCAACCATTGTAAATCAAATAAATAACAAAGCATATAATACAAGAATCAAACATTACAAGCACTAGTTGTGTAATAAGCCCATATATTTAGGACCAAAATGGAATAATTCAATATTACATGCCAAAAATTAAACCAATCCAAAGTGCATAGCTTATAGTGACCAAAATACAACACGCGTGAAACAAGAGGCCAAAATCAGAAACTCCAAAATCCTTCAAACAAGAATTAAAATAAAACCTCCCAAACCCAGAGACCCCCTCAAATAATTTACTCACGCGCAAAACAAAGAAACCCTAAGACTCTCTAAATGACATCGGTTTGAAGCCCACTTATATACCCTATTATATGTTTTTGGGAAACCCTAATACCCATTTTCTTAATCGTTCAACCTCCCCCTCCCATTTCTCTCATTTTTCTTTTCCTTTCTTTGTTTTTTTTCGAAACCGAAAAATCAATTGGTTGCCACGAACCACTGTGACCACCACCACAATCCGCCCCTACAAGGGGCCTAATACCTTCGAAACTACTTTAAACAACTACCCCTAACTCATTTCTCCTTAAACCAAGCTCTTTGTACCCTAAATCTCCCCAAAATATAACCCGAAATAAGGAAGCTACCTTAGATGCTCGACCAAACTCCTCGTCGTCGGTGAAGACCTTTAATCCCAAAATAAAGTTTCTCATTTTCTTTGTTTTCTCTCTCTTGTTTTTCTTTCTTTCTTTTTTAGCCAGTGAACCCCTTCATTTCCCTTTTTCTCTTTCTTTCGGTTTCTTTTAAACTCCTCGAAAATCTTCTTTTTTTCTCTCCTTTTTGCGTGTTCGGTGTGGCTAAACCATAAGAAAATGATTTCTCTAAAAACACATTAAAAATCGGATCCCCAATCTGACAAAATCTGATTTTTCAATAGGTTTGGTTGGATGTTCACCGTTGATGCTTTTTTTTGTTGATTTTGATTTTTTTTATTGATTTGCTTGATTTGGTTTACTGTAGATGACAATGTGCAGTTGAAATGGCTATCGGATCGTCGAGAACGGGTGGTCGGAACAGTGGTGGCAGCGCTAGCTTTTTCTCGTCAGCGACGAAGGCAGTTGGAAACTCTAGGGTTTCAAAACTCTAGGTGCTTAGCTTACTTGGGCTAGGGTTTTTCTGGGCTGATCTTGGGCCTGTTGGGTTATTTGGTTTGAGTCGGACCAGTTGGGCTAGTTATGTTGTAATATTGGACCCAGTTGGGCTTGTTGGAAAGGCCTGCAAAAAGAAATAAAATATAAATATAAATATAATAATAATAATAATAATAATAAAACAGTGGGACGAAAACCACCGTCGATAGTGACCATTTGTGTAGTTTACCCTACTTTTATTTATTTCTTTATTTGAACATATTATGTAATTTTATGACGTAAATTTTTTCATAGTTTCTCTTTTATAATAAAATTGATATTACATTTTAAAAAAAATTAAACTGATCAATATTTTTATTTTTTAATCTTTTTACCTAAATTGAAATGTAATAAAATCAAATTCAAGTAATAATTTAAACTAAAAAATTTAATTTGATATTTAATTAGATTTAAAATATATTAAACAATAAAATAATAAAAAATAAATTTCGGATATCAATATAAATAAAAAAAAAAGTTCATTTAGGTTAGTTAAAGAGGTACTAAATTGAATACTGAAACCAAGTTAAGATACTCAAATATATATTTATCCTTTTAATAAAATGGATTAACGTTCATGGTATAAATCCTAATCCATTTTCATAAATAGGTAAAGGACCAAAACACGATTTGTTTTTCATTTTCCTTTACGCAAAATCCCGCTCCCAATTCCTGAACAGAATTTAGGATTTAGGGTTTTATTAAGTTCTTTGCAAGTACACTCACTCCAGTTCTTCACCGTCGTATGATTTAGTTTCTCCGGGGTTTTCAAAATGATGTACGGTGATCCACAGCAGCAGCAGAACCAGCCGCACCCGCAAGGTGGGGAGTTCCAGAGAGGTCCTCCGCCTCCTCAAATGACGCGGCAGCCCTCAGCATCTTCCACAACTCTTAACTCAGAGTATCACCACCATGCTCCTCCTCCTCCTCCTCCTCAGAATCTTCCTTATGACGGTAGAATAATAATTCCTCAAGATTCTTTTGCTTACAGCTTTGTATTTGTTTTTGTTCAAATTAGAGGACATTGTAAGAATTCTATGAAGAAATAGTTCCTTTGTTCTTGAAATTCAAAGTTTAGGTGATTTCATTCTAAAACTCATCTAAAAATCTATTGGTTGTGGCATCATGTATGACATGTATTTACATTTTTAGGGTCATTTTGCACCATGAGCCTTATGTTATGGTAACACTTCTAGGTCTAAAAAATATGGCTAGTCTCAACTGCATGTTTAGATGATGCGTTGCAATTCACTTGAGATATTAGCTAACTAATTCTTTTGTTTTTCTATTAAATACTTCTTTCAGGTTATGGTGACAATTTTTCTGCAAAAAGAATGAGAAAGATGACCCAGAGGAGGGCTGTTGATTATAGTAGCACTGTTGTGCGATATATGCAGGTGATATTTTCATGTTTTGCCACTTTCATATGTATTTTTATATATCTTTCTGTAAGCGGTTGCATGGTCAGAATGGTGATTCTTATTATCGTGGGTGCTTATGTTTTTTGTTACATGGCTTTGATTTTGCTTGACTGTCGTATTCAATCCTGTATGGTGTTAAGCTGTACGTTTTTGTGCTTCACAGGGACAATATTAAGTTGATATCCAGAAATGCTTTTTATGTTGTAGTTTCTCATAGTAGCTACTCTTAATTACTTTTTGGACCAATATAGTCAATTGCGTGTATCATAATCAGTTCATGATTCATGACTATATTAATCCTACCATTACACCCATATTCACCTTTCATGATTAGGGGTGTATTAGTTTATATTCGTAGGAAAAACAATGCAGATTATCTTAATCATAGTTGTTGTTGTACCCGTGTTTATTTTGTTTGAGGGGCATGTTCTCTTATATAAGATAGCAAACTTGATTTTTTGTTTCCTTTTGAATCTCAAATGAGGGTGACATACTTGTAATCTAATCACAGCTGTGATCTTGCAGGTTCAAATGTCACAGCGGGATTCAAGGGACAGGACAACTTTGCAGCCTACACCAGCAGCTGCTATCGATGTTACTAAAATTCCTGTTTCTTTATTCTTTTGTTTCTTGGATTATGAATTTTAAGATTTAACTTGTACTTCTGTTGATCTTTCATGCAGATGTTGCCAGCAGCTGCCTATTTAGACAACCCATCCACAGGCTTCGCTGCCAAATTTGTTCATACATCTCTAAACAAAAATAGGTGTTCAATAAATCGTGTTTTGGTGAGTTAGATCAGAATAAATTTTTTTGGTACAACTATGTTTCATCAGGGAGTTAGATTAGAATCAATCTCATGCAACTATGTTCTAGTATGTCTGTGATTAAATGCGTCAATCTTGCTTGATAAGTAGGAAATAGGAAGCAATGGGGCCTAGAATTGTTTGGCATCTGACTTTGGGATTGCTAGTTTTTAAAAAGTTGAAAGGCTCTATAACTAGCTTTTCTTGCAAGAAATGATAACTCATGCTGTCTTAATGTGTTTAATGTGATCACATATCCATCAAATTAAATTAAGTTCTAAAAGTTTGGGATTTCTTGTTTACCCAACAAAGGCTATCTCAATCAACAGTTGGATATCAGATAGATAAAAACCATCAGATTTATCTTAATTATTTTTTATCCTCGGTTTACTATTAGTTACAGTCAAGTAGTGATACCTAATAGAAGCAATTTCCCTTTTATACTTGCATGTTTACATGACTTATCTCTTGATGTTTTCATGCGTAATGACAGCTGATGTTGTGGAAATAGCTTAACTTGTTACTGTTTCTATTGATGATGCTTCTTTTTTTTCAATTGTTTATGACTTTGTGCGGGAAGGGATTTGGTTTTACTGTTGTTTTTTCTGCTTTCTCTGGAATACCAATTTAACCCCCCCTTTCTTACTTCCCAAAGGGAAAAAAAGGATTTTTGTTTGAAGTTAATAAATTTAGAGCAGTTATACTGAGTTTTTTCCCCTTTAGTGGACTCCTACGGGTAGACGTCTCATCACAGGTTCTCAGAGTGGAGAATTTACTTTATGGAATGGACAATCATTCAACTTCGAAATGATTCTTCAGGTTTACTTCTATTAACTGACATATTTATCTTATTTAGTTAGGATTATTCATTAGAGAATCTAAATTGATGGCACTTGGACCTTTTATTCCCCTTAAAATACTTAGGCCCACGATCAAGCCATCAGGTCTATGGTATGGAGTCACAATGACAATTGGATGGTTTCTGGTGATGATGGAGGTGCATTAAAGTATGCATTCTTCAGATTCTTTTGTGTGATTTAATGTTGCTGCTTTCATGCTTGTGAATTCTTATTTGGCTTAGTCATAATTTTTTGTTGATGTAAGTGTATTTGTGAATTTACCTTATAGATATTGGCAGAACAACATGAATAATGTTAAGGTCAATAAGTCTGCTCACAAGGAATCAGTTCGTGACTTAAGGTGCCTTTTCTGACATTTCTTTTTCAGATAAGAGTTTTATCTAATATAGAACTTAAGATATACTCTTTTAACAGTTTTTGCAGGACAGATTTGAAATTTTGTTCCTGTTCTGATGATACTACTGTTAAAGTGTGGGACTTTGCCAGGTGCCAGGAGGAGCGTTCATTAATCGGTAATGTTTCTTGGCTTGTAAAGTATTAAGTATATGAATTAGTATGTTTTTTTTGTATGCTTGAATTAACCTAAGAGTTTCATACATGTTTTGAACTCAGGCAGGCCATGGGTGGGATGTCAAAAGTGTTGATTGGCATCCTACAAAATCCTTACTGGTTTCAGGTGTGTATCAAACTCATTTTCCAAGCCACTTTTTCACGATCTCTTCGGAAGCTGTCATTGTAATGCCATGCTTGGCCACTCTTTAGGTGGAAAAGATAACCTTGTGAAACTTTGGGATGCTAAGACAGGGAGAGAGCTTTGCTCATTGTGAGTAACTATCTTGGTGAAACACATATAATAGCTAATGATTTTGACTTTTTTTGTTAGTAATGCAATTCTTTTGCAGTCATGGCCATAAAAACACAGTTCTTTGTGTCAAATGGAACCAAAATGGGAATTGGGTGTTGACTGCTGGAAAAGATCAAATCATCAAGGTCATCTTCTTCTTTATCACTGCAAAGTTGTTATGTGATTGATGGAATAGATGTATAACTATATATGCTTTTTCTTCTTTTTTTCCCCATATTTACTTTGTCCTTTTCAGCTTTATGACATTAGAGCTATGACTGTGTTTTAAAAAGCGCGAGGCGCTCCAAGGCGATTAGCTACCCGAAAGCCTCAATTTTTGAGGCGCTTTGAGGCGAGGGATTCACGTACACGAGGCACTTAATTTTACAAAACATTTGTAAATATTTTATAACCATACCTCAAACACAAAACAACTTAATAAGTAAAAACACCAAGAAGCATATGTCATATTGTATCTCAAAAAGACAAATGAAAAACATCATCAATAATCAAAATGCCTAAAACTCATCTTCATCATCATCGTCATCAACATCAATCCCAAGCACCTCCTCCTCCCCATCATCTTCGGAAAGTCCAATATCTTGTTCTATCTCTTCATCGTCTTCATCAATCAAATTTAGTCCAGTAGGGCCTTCTACGAGTGGAGGTTTGGGCAACACCCTTTCCTCTATCTCTTGATGAACTTGATGTAGATGTTCTTCTAGTGGAATAAGTAGTTTGAGATGCCCCGGAAGCTTTATCAACAGCATATCATGTTAAATCATCTCCATCAAAGACAAAGTCCTCCTCCTCACCATCTTTATCGTCCATATGGCCCATCAACCACTCGTTGCTTTCATCTATTTCCTTCAAAAGAATAGGATCTGTGGTGTCCTTTCTTTGATATCTCCGTCGCAAAGCACAATTAAACTTGGCATACACCATGCCATTTAAACGACTTTGTGCCAATCTATTTCTCAAGTTGTTGAAAAACGCTCCAGTTTCTCTCGCAACCCGTAGCACTACAAGTTAGGCTAAGAACTAGGATTGCAAATTTCTGTAACTCCGGTGCTGAGGCTCCATATACAAACCACCAATCCGCTATTAACATATAAAATAAATCAAGATTTAATTTTGTGAGGTATGATATATATATAATATACTGTTGTGTAAAATAAATCAAGATTTAATTTTACACAACATCAATGATTGTTTAATCCATAATATAAATAAATTAATCTCAATTTCCAAAATAAAAATAAGACTCATGAATATTATTTTAGTGTAAATTATATTATATAGTTTTTATACTATAAGAAATAACCTCGTAAGCCATCATTTAATTTTTTTTAACAAGATAAAAACTGTTAATTTATTAAAAATAAAAAAATTAAATTATAATAAAAAAATTTAATCACAACCGTTTAAAATATAAAAAAATTATAATTACAATCGCAAATTAAAACACATGACAATTAATATTTTTTATAATTATTAACCCTTAACATCACACACAGATTATATAAGAAAAACATTAAAAAATTAATTAAATAGACTCGAATAAAATATACGAACAGATTTGGTGTGAATCACCATCTTTGAAACAGAGTTACCCAGATAAATCATTACCACTTTTTTTTACTTTTGCTTTTAGTATTCTCGCTCTCTCCCATCACAATCCTGGTAGGAGGCACTAGGGGTTCGGTCTCTGGTCTCTTGAAAGTGAAACCAACAGTTCCTTGTGCGTGGGTTCCCCTTCTTTGCTTTTAAAGTATCAGCAACACTACGAATCTAAAAAATGGAGTCTCCCCAATCTCAACAACAGCAGCAACCAAAGAAGAGAGGTCGAAAACCCAAGCCAAAGGACGAGAAAGAACAGCAACAGCAAAGCGCTGCTAAAATGAAAGAAGGAAAGAAATGGGTCATTGTACGTGAATCGCCAAAAGCATCGCCTCGTCGACTCTCGCCGCCTCTGACAACTGAATCGCCGCCTCATGTACTCGCCGCCGCCTTGGTGGTCGGAGGCTTTCTTCTAAACGCCTCGCCTCGCCTAGCGCCTCAAAGCGCCTCAGGCGCGCTTTTTAAAACACAGAGCTATGAAGGAACTTGAATCTTTCCGAGGCCATAGGAAGGATGTGACTGGTTAGTCAGACTTATTCTAACTAGAACCCTTGCGTATGGATACCACTTAAAGCGCCTGATCATTAAACATATGCTTGACTGCAGTTTTTTGGTCACCAATATGTTGTTATAGAGCTCTTAAAAAGACTGGGTTGATTGTGGCTTATAGTTATTATTGTGCTTGATCATTTAATTCTCTTTTTGCATGATTTGAATAAAGAATTCTTTAAGATATTGACCTCTGATTTTTCCAGCATTGTCTTGGCACCCATTCCATGAAGAATACTTTGTCAGTGGGAGTTATGATGGATCCATTTTCCATTGGCTTGTTGGGTAAATCTTCTGATTCAAAGTACTGGCTGGATTACAGAATTCCCTAGTTTTGTCCCGTCCTTTATGCTCCAGGTCACAAAATTTGTATGATATCATTTGTTTCACTATTACCTTGGTTATTTGTCTCTTGGAATTTATATTTAGGGTGAATTACTAAGTTGGCGTGTGACAATGTCAATTATGGGAGACATCAAAACATGTTAAAAAAGTTGTAGATCTGGATGATGTTAATACACATAGTCAGAATCATATAGGCTGATAATATTCGTGAGGGAAATAGAGTTTTAACTTGAAAGAAGTATCTTTTTTTCTGTTTTTAGTATTTATGTTAAATTATTTTTCATATTAAAATTCATTTTACGATCTTTATCTATAAGAGTGCTCATTTGTTTACTATATACACGTACTACATTCATAATGATACCTTTTCACATTCATGTACTAAATTCATGATGCCTTAATCAGCCTTTAACCTTTATAACTAAATAGCCCTCTAACCTTTAATTTGTACCTAAATAAAAAAAAATTTCAAAGAATAATTATTTTGTGGAATAAGGGTGCATTTGGATGCAAATTGAAAGGTTAAAAGACTTATTTGGGTACAATAAAAGCATAAATGCTTACTTTGGAAAAGTGAAAAATTAAGGGGGATTTAGACTAGCATTACTGATGAATGATCTTTTTTACTTACGATTGCCAAACATTATTCTGATGTACAGGCATGAAATTCCACAGGTTGACCTTCCCAGTGCACATGATAATAGTGTGTGGGGTATTGCTTGGCATCCTATTGGATATCTTCTGTGCAGGTAAACACATTCTAGAACTTATGATTGTCCTGCATGCTTGTTGTTTTCTGTTGGAGAATAATAGAATTCTATGGGCTGTGTATGGTCAATGTCAGGGAATATTATTAGTAAAGTATGGGTGTGTTATTTGTTTGAGCGTTTATGTATATGTAAGTATGTTTTCTTCCTTTCCTAACAAATATATGGAAGTTTACTTCTCATTTTCTACCTTTAAAAATTTCCTTGTAGTTTATGCATTTCATATGAGAATTAAAATAGTTGTATGCATGCCTATGCTTGTATTTGTCGATATGTGTACACTGTTTGACTGCAGGCTAGTGTTAGCTATATTTGATGCTTGACTTTTTGAGATAGAGACTGAACGAAATTGGTTTGTGGACATCTGTGAAACTGAAATATTATATGACCCTTGTCTGGCTCAATACTATTTGATCAGTAAACATTGTAAATGCGGAGTTTATGGTTTAAATACAACAAAATTTCTAGAGCTCGTCTGGTTTTATTTGGTTTTCTGTTCTTTTCCATTCTAGTGGTATTTATTCCAGGCTACATCCTATACTGATAAGCATCAAGTCTCATCAGTCTGTAAATTATGTCAAGCCCATCATCAGTTGTTTAACTTGTTTACATAATCATGCAGTGGTAGCAATGATCACACAACAAAGTTTTGGTGCAGAAATAGGCCTGGAGATACTGCTCGTGATAAATTTAACATTGGTCAGAATCAAGGTTTCTACTTATTGCCTCTGTTCTTTTTACAGTTTTTCATCTTCCCGATCTGGAAAGGGAATAGGCAAAAAGAAAAAGATATTTAAGCTGTTATTCATTGTCCACTTTATCTGAATAATTAAGTCGCACTAGTCATTGTATTTATTGCAAAACTTCTGTGAATATGTTGGAGTATTTGTACTTTGGTTTATACTTGGTAGAACTATGAACTGCATGTAGGCTATGGTGAGCAAAATCCTGCATTAGCTGGCCGCATGCCCGGCAATTTTGCTGCACCCGAAGGCCCAACCACCCCAGGACCATTTGCAACTCGAAATGAGGGAACAATTCCTGGTATAGGAGTTCCTATGCCATTATCGGTTCCATCACTTGATGCATCTTCTCAGGGGGACCAAAAGCAGATTCATCCAGGTTCCATGCCTTTTGGAGCTCCTCCTCTTCCTCCTGGACCACATCCATCTCTTATAGCCAATCAGCAGCATGGATATCAACAAAACCCTCAACAAATTCAACAACAGCAACAACAGGCAATGAAACAGCAAATGCCACCTCCAAATATGCAGCAGCTACAACCTCCACTGCATTCTCGTATGCCGCTCCATCCGCATCCTCATTTACAACGCCCTCCACACCAAATGCCTCCCCATGGTATGCCTTCGTCAGTCCCGTCCTCAATGCCAGGATCTTTCAATCCATTTTCATCAATGCCTAGTCCAATGGTATGACCTGTAAATAGCTCTACTGCATAATTTTTCCTATTTTGCAACCATGGTTTTCGTTTTCAAATTATATGCTCCCGGGAGTTGTTAATTTGTTTCCAAAGAGGGCACATGTTTTATTCTCTATGGTTCATTTGCCTGACTTGCTGCATGCATGGATGACATGCATACGGTTTTTGGACACGGGTTGGACAAATTGAAGAAGCTTGATCAAACGTATTTCAAAATTTTAGGGTATGCAAGGTACTATGAATCAGATGTCTCCTCCATTACCACAAGGTCATTTTATGGGTGCGACTCCTAGGCACTCTGGATCCTTTCCCACTAGTGGTGGTGGTCCTTCAGTTGGAGCTTTTTCAAATAGTATGCAAAATATGCAGGGGGCACCAAATATGGGCGGCGGCCAAATGTATATGCAGGGTGGTGCATTCAATCGTGCGCAGGGTGGTCAGATGCCAATGAGGCCTGGGTACAATCCTCATCAGGTAAATGAGTCATTCTGTCCTTGATCTTATTTTGTCTGTGTCCCTATATTTTATGTTTGTGACCAGATTCATGCCGAAATATATGATAGAACATCAAAAAGAATCACGTAACTGGGTATATTCCTTCTTTCTTGACTCCCCATTTTTAATGGTATAACTGAACACGCATGGCATTTTTCATGCAGCCTCTTCCGAGGCAATTTGTATTTGGGTAACAGTACTCGAGCTCATATGAAACTAACTTGTGAAACTCGCTTGTTATTGCTTTCACTTACTGCAGTCTGGTGGTCAGTCCGGTATGCCGTCTCAGCCGCTGACAGGTCCCCCACCTCATGGCCAAATGCCACAGTAAGACCTATGATTGTAGATTATTTGTACCGTTTTGGGGTCTCTTTTTCTTAAGACTATTGCTTTCGTGGGACCTGAATATTGCAACAATTGGCACCAGCTAGCAAATGATTTTTGTTTACTTATGCGGTATTTTAGTGTATGGAAACTGGAATGCTTGAAAAATTAATCCTCTTCCTTTCGTTTCTCAACTTTGATTTATTTAATTTATATATAACTAAAAAAGTGGATTAAGACTTGATTGAATTTAAATTATAAGATGTTGAAGTTTGAATTTGATTCAATAATGATCAAACTAAATTAGAGTTTTATACAAAAGATGAATGACTTCTTGACTTGATCAACTTGTCAACATTTTCTTAATACCAAACGAGAACAAGAGTGGTTAATACACAATGGCCATTGCCAGATCTTCACGCAGGAACGAGTACTGCTGCAGGTGGTTGGAGATACCAAGTCGTACCAAAAGGAAGAGTCTATTAAATCTTAGCCATCACGTCTGCATCTGCAACGCTATTATCTCCAACTCTATTACCCTCTCGCAGAACATGAGAAAACTAAAGCTGCTAATTACAAGAGATCATATTAATCAAGTGTGCAACCATATGGGAGACCCCGTCCGTTGCCACACCTTGCTGGAGGGGTGCATACACCTCCTTACAATTTGTTTCCACCACGACACTTAGCAAGCTACATTCAACCCTTCGTAAGTGCCCTAAAGTTTCGCATCTAATACAGATCGGCATCCTAAGACTTTTATAAACCTCATCATCCATTGACTATTACTCCCGAATGACACCTCCACAAATTGCGAGCCTCTTTGAAGGATTTTGGGCTCCTCAAGCAGCAGTATCCTAGTGAGCTCGTGAAGCCTAGCCTGGTGTGATCTTTAGTGAGCAATTGCGTGAGCAGCCTCGGTACACATCTGTCGGCCACATTGAACCACACTCTCCACATCTAAAAATTCCGATTCAAAGATAAACTTATTCCTCCGAATCTAAAGGCGCTAAAGAATCGATCTAAAAAGAATATCTGATCCTTCTCATCGATCGAAAAGTATGTGGGGTCTTGGATATTAGTTCGATCCCAACCTAGCAAATCCATGTGAAGAAACTCATCTAGCAATGCCAGTTTAATAAGCTCTGATCATGTCGAGTAGGCAACAATATAGTCACGGAGAATGTGTGAAATGGTCTTCACTGCTATCCTACAATAGTCATTCTTGGAACTATCCGAAATGGACTCGTTCTTCAATAGTCATAAATTTATTCTTACAAAGTAACCAGAGAAGCATTTTAATCCATGGCACATCCTTGTAGCGCGATATGCCCCTCCCCAGCATAATGACCACGACACTCGAAACAACTAACCTCCGAGTATAAGCACTCACTGTGGAAAATATATGGTTTTTATTCCACTTCCATCCAGGTCGGTCATCCCCGCCCATCATTAGTGGAGGTTTCACTGAAGTAGGAGAAAAAGGTAAAGTAACCGACATTAAGCTATGAATTTCCTCCCATTGCCAATCACCATCGAAACCCATCATAGAGCTCAACGAAGTCGGAAGGGACATATGCAGCAAAGACCCTAAGCGGCGTTCTACTAAAGGGTTTGTGTCACCTAACCAATAATCTTTCCAAAAATCAATCCTCGTCCCATTTTCAAGGTTCCAGACAATGCCATGTCGGACCTTCGACCACACTATATTTAGCCCCCGCCAAATGTGAGAATAGCCATTATGAAGTAAGGAATTTGGGATGTAACACCCCAAATTCCGGACACCCCAAATTCCGGACTAATAGTTTTGGTTTTATCCGAAAGGCATATAGATCCTGTGAATTTTATAATTTAAGTCGTTGGGCTTAATTGAGTTAGAATTGAGCCTAATTTGTCATAAAAATGAGATTTTTGAATGATATGTGTAGACACTCATTTTCTTAAAAGATAGAACTAGTAAGAGTTCATCTCCTAAGAGGACTCTTCCACCACCATATCTTTTAAAGCAACAACCACACCAACAAACGTGCAACAACCGAGCAAGGAGTCTAGTTGCATTAGGATTCTATTGTTAATAGGATTCTAAAAAATAGTTAGTTTTTTTTTCACTATAAATACATGTAATCCTCCCCATTTGTAAGACACGATTTACATACAAGATACAGAGGAAAGCACGAAAAAATACAAAGGCAAAGCTATTGTAAACGATTCGAAAAGGAAATAAAATGTAGCATCTTTTTTACATTGATTCGTTCATTTCTCGCATGTGCATGTTATTTTTCTTGAGATTTGGTTTGAATAACCCAAAGCGTGGGTTGCGCCGATGACCAAAAAGGGGTGGGGTTTCGAAGTTTCAAACCTAGATCTACTCCCGAGGCATGCTCATTTTTTTAAAGTATTTAATATTCCCCCTAAGTCAATCTTAATATTTAATTTACCTTGAAATTTACCCTTTAATTTTACTTTTATATTAATTTCGTCCCCTATATATATATTTTTAATTATATTTTTTTATTTATTTACTATATTCTTCTTCTTTTTATTTATATTATATTATTTTTATTATATATATCTTATATCATTATATATATATATATATATATATAGATGTATTAATTTTTCTCCATTTACTATGTATATATTTTTTCTTAATATTATATTTTATACATTTATATGTATATTTTCTTAATATTCTATTTTGTTTTTATTTATTTATATATATTATATTTTTACTTTATTTTATTTTTTCTATTATTTTTTTCTTAATATCATGTATATCTTTATTTTTTATTTATTTTTACTTAGTATTATATATTTATTATTTTTACTTGTTTTAGTAAATACTACTTTATATGTACACATTATTTTTATTCCTTTTTAATTTCTTTTATCTTTTTTTATTTTTTTACTCCATTAATTTTTTCCTTTATCTGTATCTTTGTTTTTTAACATTTTATTCATTTTGTTTATTTTTATTTTTTATTTTATTTTTTTACTTGTTTTGTTATTTTCCATTTTTTCTTGTTTTATTTATTATTATCACGTTTTCACACTTGCTATCCTAATTCGATTTTATACTCCGCTACGAATCTAACGTTTTTATTTTTTAAGGGTATTCAAATTAATCAATTGTAAGTAATTTGAATCGGGTCTGTTAAATTTTAATTTAAATTTTGAATTTTCGCACAACTAAGACAACCGGCAAATTAATTGGTACCGAAAGGGCGGTTCAAGGGTGCTAATCCTTCCTAGACCGTAACCGACTCCCGAACCCGACACATTTCTGGTAAAAACGCAGATCAGGTAAGATGGTGTCCGACCCACCTAAATTCGTTTTAAAATGGTCGGTGGTGACTCCAATCCACATTTTTCAAGTCGAAGCCCAATTCTGGGGCCCAACCGAAAGACGGTTACGACAGCTTGGCGACTCCGCTGGGGACATGTAAGTGAGTCAGACCGAAATTAATTTTCGGTTATCTTTTTTTAGCGAAAATTACAAGTTTAAATTTTAATTTATTTATTCGATTCCAATTATTTATCTTTGATTTTTTTTCAAGTAAATAGTTGTACTGACGTTTTTTCAATGATTTTAGATTTTTGAAAAAGTTTCCATATCTAGCTCTATACCCAAGCTCTGAACCCTTTTAAGTGGGGGTGAAAGCGACGACTTCGTGTGAATTTATTCACCGTGCGAGCCTAGCAAGTAGCCTTTGGGATTCATATACCTTATATCTTCGTGTGAATTTATTCACCGTGCGGGCATAAGGGAATGTTTCCTCTCGAGTTTAACTTAGTCCACATAAGCTTGTAATGGGCTTAGGACCAAGGGTCTGGTAAGCCCAAGGGGGCACCAGCAAGGAGAACTCGGGTCCCATTTTTTTAAAACCTAAACCGGGAGGCTATGGAGAATTAGAGCCCACCCTAAAACCTCATTCCAAACCCTAGGATGCTTTGTTTCATGCTTTACTTTCTGTTCAAAGCATGCGAACTAGACAAATATGCGGTTAGGATTTGTGTGGAATTAACATGCGAGATAGAGATCATGTCCGGATAGAAATTAAAGCATGTGGGGTATATATCATGTGGGGTATGACCTTTTATTTTCATTATTATTATCTTTACCTTACTAACTCTTTTCAATTTTTCTCTCTTTTATTTTATTTCCATCGTCTGCATCATTCAAAAGAGGTGTTGATCCATAAAAAAAACGTGTTCGTTAACCATAAATAATTTGCATTAATGGACAAAGGGGTTGTAATACAAGAGATGAAAAACGCAGGGGTCTGACAATGGTCAGAAAAGACTCAGAAAGAAAATGAGGACAATTTGCAAGACAACTATGTGTCACATTCGATCAAGAAGACATGGTGCCCACAATCAAGTACATCAAAAGTCAACTTTTCAAAAATGGGTTGACAAAGGTGGCAGGGGCAAGACGAGAAAAAGGTTACTAACCTCGAGAGTCTATTCAAAGACAACAAGAACAAGATGACAAGTCACTGTCGACAAATTCAAGAAACAAGCAAATGAACTTCGGATAATCCCTTTTATGGAGGATTTCAATGGAATTTCCTATTCAGCAAAGGATGAAAGCCAGAGATGCAGTCATTCGATACTTTTTGGGAACCAGTACAAAAAATAACTCAACATTTTCACGGTTCATCCAGAGAGGCCGGAGTGGTTCAACAGGTTATTCAACCGGTGAAAGACGAAGGCAAATGACTAGTCAACCTGTTCCGGGTCTAGAGGATTTAGTCCGGATGTACCTTTAAATATGTTTATTGTCTCTTAAAAGATAAAACACTTTTGTCCCAATAAAGTTTAATTACAATAACATACATGTTTTTGGATCAATGCCTCGAACATTTCATGCATTTTTGCATTTTGCATCTACATTTCATTTTTAAGCATTTTCATAAACATGAAATTTCTTCATGGAGAATTCGATGAAGTGGTTTTAACCACATGACACCACATGGAAGCAAGATTGTAACATCAAAAGAAAAAATTGAAATAATAACGAATGAGCTCGATCAACTGGTTGTACGACTAAGCCTGCCAAGATGATCTGAGAAAATAGTCCATATATCCTAAGGGATACGATGTTGAAGCTGTTTGCAGTTGCCACATAGGATGCTCCAAACATTTTTTTGAGAACTATAAGGCGCTGAAGCATG